TCACATAGTCCAACTTCTTGTAGGACTTGCTCAGCCTACAGATCGCATGAGTATGATCGAAGGCTACAACCGTCACACATGCCTTTCCTGTATTCCCATGTTCCATTCAGACACCTACTTCTTGGTCTAGGTAATGGTTCTGCACAATTAAATGTTCCAGAATTCCTATCCTTTGAAATGCTGCCCATGGGTTGTTATGTTCCACACAGTCGGATGCCTGCATAGTTGATAAAACACAGTGAACATCTTTCTGGATGGTGTTTGCATAGATGATCGCCTTGATGTCTGTCGGGGTGTGCAGTACATCAAATCTGTTCCTGAGATGCTCTCTAAATTCAAGTGGGAAACACTCAAGGTTGTGTTCTCGTTGCTCTGTTGTCATTTCCTTCGGCTTCAACTTGAACATGCATTTGAGTACTTGGTGGCCTCTCCCGCAGTTGACCCCTGCCCTTGTTTTGACTACAGACCGTGAGCTCCTCCACCATCTCTTTGCACCGATGGAGTCCATGTGGTTCCTCTGTAGAGCATCTGGCAAGGTTCACATGTATCGCTGTTGTTCATGTCGCCGAAGAAGGTGTTTCTAGCAGGTGACTGGTTTTGTAAAATTCTGTGATGCAATCTCTGGCAGCGTTTTAGCCAAGATCCATCTGACATCAGCATTGATAATACCTCATCTGTGCCCTCTCCTAAATCCAGCACTCACTGTCAATGTAAGCCTTTTTTTTGTTTAAACCACTTCAGCAAAATAATGCTTATAAACGATGTGATTTGATCATTTCCACACTGTTGGGTCACCTTTCTTTGGAATGTACGTAGCCATGGAGCTCTTCTAGGCCGTGGACCAGCTGTTTCTTGGTATATCTCGCCAGATCTACACAATCCTGTCGGTCCATTCACATACAATTCTGTTGTTTGAGCCCCTACAGTGAAACGTCTTGATTGGTGTTTCCTCACTTCTTGGCCACTGACCCCTGAAGGCCAGAGCCTTCGGTATAGCTTGGATGAACTGCTTGATACCATCTGTTCTTCAGCAAATGGCTCTTGGTCATGTGCAAGGCATTGTGCACTTCCTCTGTTTCAGACCAGCTGACAGTACATTCAAAGATCCTGATTTGTTTAATGGGTGAGCACGTAAACAGTGGTATATGGCATGTTTCTGCATCAAAAAACTAGAACTGATAGGGGAAAATGTGCCATTTGGGGAGTCAGATCAACTATACACAGAAACAAGTGTAACATTTGAGGCACCGAAATGGTTGTTGGCCAGTGTTTCAATGCATCTTGATTGTATGTTGCATGTCTGATCCATCGCAGACTGCAGAAGTTGGTAAAAAAAAAACAAAAAACTTCATCTTTAGCATTGGCGTTTGGTATGTAGAACTGAATAATAGTTGTATTAATTGGTCTTACATTATCCTATCACTAAAAGCACCTTCAGGATAAATCTTGAAGGGTTGTCTCTGACGACAAATCTAACGTACTTCCCTCTTCAGTTTGTCCTTCCAGCATTCCCAGTGAAAATAACCGTACGTGATCGATAAACCGATGTGTGTGGCTGTGTGTACAAATAGGCTTGGGGTCAGTATCTGACTTCATCGGGGAGAGGGAAAATCGAACTCCGAGGCTGAGTCCTACCAGGCAGAAGTCAGAAATGCCTCCACTTCCCACCCTTCCAATTCTGACCTCAGCCATCTCCCCAGAGCTCCCTCTGATTCTCAGCTGGGTCCAATAATTCATAACAATGGCCACACAGAACTCAGACAATACTCACAATTAATGTGCTGTATTTATTAAGGAAGTTGACGGGTTACAATTCAGGGTGAGAAATGCTTAAATCACTGTTCTTCATTCAGGACAGTGTCTTTCCAGCCATGCCCGTGGGCCACAAGGCCCCTGGACCTCAGCCCTGTGGCTTGAGTAAGGTTACAAAGTGCTTTTAGAAATGCCGAAAAATGCCTGAAGAGTACACCATTCTACCCTCATCCTCAGCCTAAAGGCAGTCCACTCTAGCTCCACAGGGTAGCAAGTCTAGCTCGCCTACTTGAATGCCTAGGGGTGCCCCACTCTGCAAGCAAGCTCCTACCCAAAGGCGCTCAGCTTTCCTCACTCCAGCCTGGGAACCCCACCACTGGTTCCTACTCCGCCTCTGGGTTGGGCTTCTCTTCTCGGGTGTCACACGCTCTGTGCCTGGAGCAGGGCAAGTTAGCGCTCCCAGATCTCAAGTGCACAGCATGCACCCCGCTCCTGGCTGTTCTTTCTGGACAGTGGTGATCATCCCCCTCTTGTCTCTGAACTGGCTCCTTTTATACCCAGCAGGAGGGCAAACGGACACAGCTCCACGTTAGAGTTCCAGGCTTTTCCCATCGCAGTTCAGCCCGCTAGCCATCATCATTACGGAGTCCTGTAATCCTATCTGCGGCAGCCTTCTCTTAAAAAAACCATGGCTGGAAGAGACGTATCGAATGGTACACTGCACCACACTGAGTTTCAATAAAACTTTATTTCTAAAAAGCAGGCTGTAGGCAAGATTAGGCTCTTAGGCTGTTACTTCTGCCTCCTGTGGGCGAGTGAATGATCCTTCCCCTTTCTAGGTTTCTGCCAACTGAGGAAGTTGGTGGAGGAGCCCCCTGGCACCCTTCTGTTTGTGTTCCCTTTAGTAGTCCTCGCAGAAGCTAGGTCCGCGCGGCTGACCCAGCGTATCCTTTCTATTGATGCTTAAGGTCAATGCGAACAACCCACAGGGACAGATGTTGAGTCTCGAGCCCTGCAGGCCTTCTCAGCCTCAGCACTGTTGACGTCTGAGGACAGATAGTACTTTGTTGTGGTTGTCTATGCTGTGCCTTCTAGGGCGTTGCCAGTAGTAACCTTCCCCGTCTCCCCCTCATTTCTGACAACCGGAAATGCCCCCTGGAGCCAAATCACCCCTGGTCAAGAAGCACTGTTGTAGAGACTCTTTTGGTAGCTGGAAGAATCCAAAACACCAGAATAACAAAATGCAACGCAGGACAGCCACCAAGAAAACAAACCTATTGCTTCAGGAATAAGGTCAAACAGGACAAAACCCAACACCACTTATTAGAAAGAGAAAAGTAAGGAAATTATATTCAGTTGGTCAAAGGGGGCGAGAAGTGGGTAAGAGATTTAAGAGTGATTTGAATCATACTACAGGACGTATCCAGACACAAGGGAATTCAAATAGAAACTGATCTATAAGGGGGAGAGGAGACGACACGAAAGCAAAAAATCGTGGTGAAAAGAAACAGACCACCTTCAAGGTCATGATGAGCCCCATGCACACATGCAGCTGCTCCACCAAGCACACATGCAGCTGCTCGAGGGCTTGCTGCAGAGGAGGGAATGTGCAGATGCTTGGCTTGGCTTCCTCTCTTTCCCGTCGATGGCTGGACCCAGTGTGGCTTGGTTTCTGCAATGACGTATTGTTTAGTGATGAAAGTAAAGTAATATCACCTCATGCACTGCATGGATGGGTTTTGAATGTAGGCTCTCAATGTTGGAAAGGCTGGGCCTTTATCAAGTTTGGTCACATAACCTGCTTGTGATTTAGCTACAATTAAAAGCCAACATCACCTTGTGTTAGGCCAGGTTGACTAGAGAAATCCAGAGACACTCATCTATGTATAAGAAAGAGCTTTAAAAGATTTATTTTAGAAAGAAAGATCTTTGTGTCAAAGAGCAATTGTATATTGAGAAAACATCTCAGCCCAGTCTGGAGCAAATCCATAATTCTTATATTAGCCTGTCTGTCCAATACTAGTCCATAAATTCCTCCTCAGACTCCTGTAGCCACTCATAATGACACTGAATGCAGGAAGACCACAGGCCGCTAAGTGAAAAGTCTTGTGGATCCAATGGCAGGGGAAGCATCTCCAGGGCCCTGGCAGCCATCCGCATGGCTCCTCAACAGGAAGGTGAAGCAGAGGGAGAGTGTGGCCTGCTTCCAGGGAGAAAGAGAGGAAGTCCCAGAATCCTCGAGAAGGCCACGCCCACAGGAGGCATCATCAGGCTGTGACCTGATTGACAGGCCAGATTCTACCCCTTCACCCTTAATGCCCTCAAGTTGACACGAGATGATGTAACTACCACACACTGCTACCTACCAAGAAGAGTGGGTTTCATTTTATCTACCTTTATTTATGCCCCGATTCTTTGTCTAAAGAATATGTTATCTTCTAAGTGTGAGTGATACTAAGCCTAGCAAATAGGCCCTGGATACCTGAGTGGCTTTTGTAGAAGGAATGGTTTATGTATGTCTTGTTTTGTTTCTCGTTTTCTTACATTTTCCTTACAAGGACGTTAATACGGGGGTGGGTGGGGGTGGAGGGTGGGTTTCTGATCCGTGATCTAAGAACTCGGAAAACAGGTTGTAGTCTCAGACACCAGTGGAAAACATGTCTGCATTTACGAAATGGCAGGGAGAGTCTTAAACTGTGCTCCTAAACTAGCCACTTCAGAACCATCTCTGAAGCCCTGTTTAGAATTCAGGTCTCTGCCTTACTCCCAGATTCGCATTCTGCAGGCTGGGGTCAAGCCTAGGAGACTGCAGCTCTGTAAGCTCCCAGGGGCTCCAAGGCATCGCGATCTTGGAGGTGATCTAGGTCCTTTCCCCTATAGAATATGGTGTTTAAAAGAAATATGTATTTCCCTAAATGCCCTTTATTAGATTGCTTTCTGGAAACTTTAATATTATATAAGAAGTGATTTAGATTAATTCATCGTAGACCTCCCCAGCGTACATACATTGGTGCAGCTTAAATTGTTTGCTCCAGTGTGATTAGTTTATGCCTTAGGGACATGCTCCTGATCCCCCAAGGTAGCGCTCCTTGTCACCAGGATGCCGTTACACAGCGTTTTTGTTTCCGTCTTGCATTAGAAAGCCATTGCAACGTTTGATGCCCTGATTCCCATGTAACCATAAAGTAGACGAGGATTAGAAATGCCGTCTGGTTGTTCATTTCTGCTTGTTTTTGTTTAATTTGCAGAATGCTCTTTTCAGTTGCGTTAACAGAAATGAAAGTAAGTATGTTGCCAGTGGAGCTGGTACAAGCAGCTCAAAGAGCAAAACACTGTTCACAGGACATGACGTCACTGCCACGGATATTTATTGCCAGCACACTGGCATTACAACACGATCGAGAAGCAGCTGAGCGAATGGGCACTGCAGGGTTCTGCTAGGCACAGGGCGTTCGGTCCATGCATATTGTAACAATTCCTATGACCTGATTGGAGATCTGGAAAGGAGGTACCAGAGCTAGTTTGTTATAGGAATCTCATGTCCCACTTCAATAATAGGGTCACTTGCAAACATTAAGCCCACCAACATTATATAATGTAGCACTTGCCAAGGACTGAGGAGCCCTGGTGGTATAGTGGGTTGCTAACCACATGGTCGGCAGTTCAAAATCACCAGCCATTCCTTGGGAGAAAGATGAAGCTTTCTAGTCCCACAAAGATTTAGTCTCGGAAACCCACAGGGCAGTTCTACTCTGCTATAGGGTCTCTATCAGGCAGAATCCACTCGATGGCAGTGAGTTTTGCCAAAGGCTGCCTCTCAGTTCATTCAGTGAGCAATTATTGAGTGCTGACCTGGGCTGTGGGCGCAGCAGATAAAGATGTCTGGGACAGGGTGGTACACAAAGGACTCCAGCACTTAGTAGAGACTGGGAGCACAGCGCTGACAAAATGCCGAAGGAGGACTTACATCCTGCAGGTGCTTAGAGACGTCTTCTCAGAGCTAGGAACTCACTTGGGCCCTGACAGATGCATGGACCACATGCGAACAGGAGAGAATGGAGGAAGGGCATTCCGGTCAAGAGAACAGTGGAAGCAGGTAAAGATGGGAAGACACACCTGAGGAACAAAGTGTTTCGCTTCGCTTGGCCAAGCAGTGTGGCAAAGGCTTCTAAGAAGCACTGACTGTCTGTAGGTTCTCTTCAAGATTTCCCAGACTCCCGCCGACATCTAACCCTATACCCTTCCGCACTGGGGAGCACGTCAGCCTCGGTGGGGGCCCGCGGGGTAGGATTAGGGCAAAAGATGGGACTCTGTCTCCTCTGCTCTCAGTCATCACCACCTGTTTGGTGTCCTGAGTTTTACAATGGTATACGTAGCCATTGACAGTTATCCTTGGTGGTGAAAATAATCTTTTTAGCAATGAGCACAGGAAATTTGATAATGATTACAAGTCGGAAATTTAGGTTGCACAAAACATGTGCGAGTTTCCTGACCCAAGAAGCAGGGCTGACCCTGCATCGGTTCCGGCTTAGTTTAATTTGTTCATGATTATTTTCATTATTGTTTCTAGAAATCACCTCAATTCCCTGCTCACCTCTCTGTGGAACTTACCAGAAACCTGATTCTACTTCCTCCAGGCCCCTCTCTGATAGCTTACCAAGGATATCCTATGACTCCCTCTCAGCCTCTTCTGCCCCCCACCCCAGCTCCTTGTATTTGGCTTGTTTGTTTGTGGAGTGGGAGGGTTGCTCTTTTCCCCCTCATTGTGTAAACACACAAGTAAGGAAACAGTTGCCATTGCTACACTTCTCACACGTATAGTTAGTTCACGGTCATTCATTCCAGCCCCACTTTTAAAGGTCTCTGGTGCCTCTCCATTATAAATCCTTTATCTGCCCCTCACCCCCACCCCAGCTCCTCTCCACAGCAACTTAAATTGCCCTCCATTGATTTTTTTCATATGAAAATCCAGACCCTGTTTTTCTAAAGATGGGTTTTACTGGAGTTGTGAGGTAAGGACTATCTCTGCATATTCTTAGAGGTCTTTAAACTCCATAGAAACTTTTGAGATTTTGTTTGAAGATATACAGTTACTTAATTGTCAAATTTATGAAATGATTCAATAAAATGATTTAATAAAACTCCAAAACTCACTGCCATCAAGTTGATCCTAATTCTTAGTGACTCTTTAGGGAGAGTTTAGAACTGGGCCTTTGGGTTTCCACATCTATAATCCTTTATGAGAGCAGACAGCCTCCTGTTTCTCCCTAGGAGCTGGTAGTGGGTTCAAACTGCTGATCTTGAGGTTAGCAACCCACTCTGCCACCAGGCCCCTTTTTGAAAATAAACGTCCATTGATTCAGTATGGAAAGAAGTTCTCAACACGGACACAGTGGCATTTGGGAAGGCAGTTTGGGTGCTGGGTGACTGCCCCACGTGACAGTCAGTAGCCCTCTGACAGCCTCCACGCGCCCCAGCAGAGTGGGCAGTGCCGCCCTAGGTGAGAACCGCTGCACGAGAGACTCAATTGACAGACAGCTTTCCTACATCAGTGGACACCTGAGTGGCCGTTGCTGTGCCTACAGGACCGCGGGGGATGTGCTCATTTCCTCCGGCCTGGGCTCGGTTCTCAGAGTCGCCAAGCCACGCGTTGCCCCTTCATCGGCATGCGGGTTGGCTGCTGACAAATAGCTGCTCTGTTTCAGTCTGGGCTCCTCTCCCCGCAGGGGGCTCGCTTTGCTGCGGCTACGCAGGCCATCACACCAACTGCCGGGAGTACTGCCAGGCCATCTTCCGCACGGACTCGGCCCCGGGTCCCTCTCAGATCAAGGCAGTGGAGAACTACTGCGCCGCCGTCAGTCCACAGTTAATTCACTGCGTGAACAATTACACCCAGTCTTACCCAATGAAGAACCCGACCGACAGTAAGTCAGAGGTGCTCCCCCTCCTCTCCTGCTTCGGAGTCCGCGGAAAACAACCGTCTTCCTTCAGGGTGGCGATCGATCGGGGTCAGGCTCATTGTCACAGTTAATAGCTGCCAAGAACGGTGGGCGGGCTGTGGAGGGTGTGAAGAAACGGGCGTTCTCTCCTGGGAAGAGAGCTTTGGAGGAGAGTTGGATCATAGCCATTAAGATTTCAAGTAATCCTCCTTTTTTTAAAAACATTTTATTAGGGGCTCATACAACTGTTATCGCAATCCATACACACATCAATTGTGTAAAGCGCATTTGTACATCCTTCTCAAAACATTTTCTCTCCACTTAAACCCCCGACATTAGGTCCTCATTTTTCCCCTCCCTCCCCGCTCCCCCCTCCCTCATGAGCCCTTGATAGTTTATAAATTGGTATTTTGTCATATCTTGCCCTGGACGTCTCCCTTCACCCACTTTTCGGTCGTCTGTCCCCCAGGGAGGAGGTCACATATAGTTCCTTATAATCGGTTCCCAATCCTCCTTTTTTGATCTGACATTCCCACTGCCCTGCAGTGAAAACACACATTGTTTACAAAAATACACGGCAGACGTGCTTATGAAGGAGGTTTTCCACCTTTGTAATAACAAAATCACAAAAAAATGAGAACCCTAACAAACGGAGGAACCAGAAATTGGACACTTTCTTAGAGTAGGGCTCTTACGAAACCTGTTTGTGGCGTCTTTAAAGTGTCTGCTTTGTAAGCCCTAGAATCCCTCTTTATCCAGAGGTGCCCCTGCTCAAAGAACTGGTTAATTAGCCACGCTGACAGAAGACTGGCTTATCAGCCAAGTGCCCATAGATTGATCTGCATTGGGCATTAAAAGACCTGCTTGGTGAACAGAAATGCCTTGCCATCATCAAAACCCAGACTCTAAGGTTTGGGCGCTCTGGGATGTAGCTTTATGGTGAAAATCGGAGGGTGAAGCCCCTGCCACAAGTAACCTTCATTCACTGTAAAGGTAGCTCTCCCTTCCCTGGCACCGGGGCCCCACAGAAAAGCTGTGGAAGCTAAGCACCGTCTCGGATGCCTGCTCTAACACACCAGAACCGAGGGAGCAAGCTGCCAGCAGACACGCTTGGATAGGCCTCTTTCAAAGTAAAACACACCAAGTAAATTACTTTCCACAAACAATCCTAAATTCTACAGCCAGGTGAAAAGCGTTCTTCCCCTTTAGCATTCTTGGTGGAAAATAAAAGGCAGAAATTCCACTGAAGTAAACTGATACCTTGGCAGAGAATGATCTTGTAGTATATATTTATTGTGGTAAAGCCTACAAAAGCCGGAATCTGTAGAAGGCAGAAACCTGTCAGAGAGGGAAAACCCAAAATAGTCTCCATCACTCGAGAAATTAAACAAAACCACTGCCTTTGAGTGGAGTGGCAACAGTGAGCCCCGCTCCCCTGGTGTCGCTGTGATTCCCACTGTGTGTGAGCTTACACAGATTGATGCTGCCCTAGGATGTGATAAAATCTGATATTTGTGGTCATTGCTATCGTCGTCTCTCTCATATCAAGAACATGATTCCTTTTTATTTTTCCATAATTCCATTTAGATGGTGGTTTCCAGCAGGGTAATCACTTCAGTGTGATCCACAGTACCTTTCCCAGATCTATAAAAGACCTCGCACACTAGGACTTCCCTGCATTTATGTAAGGATGGTGCACGAGATCCTGTGATCATGGGCAGTGGTAATATCTCTATCAGATACCTTGTCCACTGCAAAGCAATAACGATAAGATTCAGTGGGCGCTTTACATGAAGCCGCTTCAAAAAGCTGGTAGGAAAGTGGAATTGAAAGATACAGAATCACTCATTTTTGGAAGCCCCCTCCCACGGCAGGCAGTGGCATCATGATTCAGTATGCTGGTGTACCCACCTGTGTGCTTTGTTTCCTTGTTGCGCGGTGTCTCCTACAAAGCCAGCTAATGGAGCCGTGTCTGTTCCTACCACGTAGGTTTATACTGCTGTGAAAGAGCTGAAGACCAGGCCTGCCAGAGTGCCTGCCGGAGAATCTTGATGTCTAAGAAGACGGAGATGGAGATCGTCGACGGCCTCATCGAGGGCTGTAAGAAGCAGCCCTTGCCGCAAGACCCCCTTTGGCTCTGCTTCCTTCAAGGCTCCCTCTCTCGCCACCCCGGAGTCACCGCACACCCTCCTCCCTCCACAGGCCTGGATGGGGCTAAACTGCATTGCTGTTCTAAAGCAAACACTTCAACATGCAGGTCAGTATCTCATTTCCCTTTGTTAAAATAACAGGTAACGTTTTAGTTAGCGAATTTAAACTGCACATACAGGTTGCATTCCTTAGAGTACAGAAGATGTAAAGTCTATTTCATTCTTGCCGTCAACAAGTACTTATTGAACAGTGTATGTCCCCCAAACGGTGTTTTCCTACAGTGAATGCTAAAACCACTGTGTGTTGGGGTATGGGGCATTGGGCAGGGCAGTAAGTTCCTAAAGATGGTGCAGGAGATCATAAAGGAAGCGTACCGTATAGAAGGTATTTTAATCTCACATTTAAAAAATACTCTTCTTATTAAGTTACAGAACTTTGAACATAATCAACTTTCTGTCGTATTAATCATTGGTCTGAGTTTGCAGGTATATTCCCCCACCACCCCAAAGGATAAGAAATTGGTCCTGATCTTGTTTTTAATATTTCCTGTGTGCTTTTTCATATTGGGGTTTAACTCTGATGTATTTTGTTGTTGTAGGTAGCCCTCTTGAAGATTTGTCATATGTTTTTCTGGGGTTTGGTATATGAAACCCAGGATTGATGAACCTATAGAGTCAACATGTAGAACAGGTTCCTGGGCGGTTGGGTGGGGGAAAGGGGGGGTCGAGGGGAGCTGATATCAAGGGGTTCAAGAAGGAGAAAATGTTTTGAAACTGGTTGTGGTAGCAATTGTGCAGCACTGCTTGATGTGATTGAACGATGGAATGGTATGATATCTAATATAGCTTCCGGTAGAATGGTGTGGGGGCGGGGAGGAAAGGTAGCCCCCACATAGGGCAATAATGAGAGTCCATTAAAGTGTGAGGGAAGGGAAGAATGTTTGCTGGTGACGTTGTATACTTCAGTGGTATTAAGATTTTATATGGTGAGCATGCATTACTTTCTTTTTTTATTATTTAGTTTTATTTTTCCATTACTTTCATAAATGAACAAATGAGTGAATATAATGTGTGGAAGCACTTGGGAAGTGATGCAGATATAAACCCACTTAAGTTTCTTGGTAGTCACCGAGTTTCAAAAATAAGAATGCATCGTATTAACTGACAGTACACAGAGATCTCAGAATTTATAAATCGCCGCCTGTAGGCCGTCATGGTATGTCTTAAGACATGCAATTGACTTTGGGATAGTTTTTCAGAGAGAAAATATTGAACCCTAACTTTATAGTGTGTCCTAAAGATGCCTGAGGACCCATCATGCTTTCGGGTCATCGACATGGAAAGATATTTTTGTGGAGATAAAGCCTTGTGATTTACTGCACTTTAATTGTACGTTAAAGAGGTGTGGACAGAAATAATTTTATCAAGAACTACTCCCAAAAAAACAAACTCACTGCCCTTGAGTCTGTTCCGACTCACGTGACCCCACAGGACCGGGTAGAACTGTCCCTGTGGGCTCCAGGCCTGTGACTCTTCAGGGTAGAAAGCCTCATCGTCCTCCGGTGAAGCATCAGGTGGTTTCGAACCACCGACCTTGCAGTTAGCAGCCCAATGCGTAACCACTACACCCCCTGGGCTCCTGTATCAGGAATTAAGGGGTTCAAATACTGTAACTGAACATTAAATTTAGCGCTGAACTTTCAGCAACCAAGACAAAAGAGAAGACCTGTTTTTTTTTTTTGGTGGGGGGGGGTTTATTGGCTCTAAATTTTAGGGGGCAGATTTTAGTCTTTTGCCTTTTTGTATATTTTCTCATTCCTATGCCAAAATATAGTTTATAGAGCTTGAGTTTTATGTCTAGCAAATATTCATTTGGCTCATCTACATGTGTCTGTGATCTTGTTTCAGGGAATTGTGCACAAAACTCTACAGCCTGAGCTGGGGCAGCACACAGAGCTGGCAAGAGTTTGATCGGGTCTGTGAATACAACCCAGTGGAGGCGTCCATGTTGACCTGTTTGGCAGATGTCCGAGAGCCTTGCCAGTTGGGCTGTCGAAACCTGACTTACTGTACTAATTTTAACAACAGGTAGGTGGACAGCACCCTATCTGGAGTGGGGATATTTTGTCATTTTATTTTGCTGTGTCATCGTGAAAACACTGATTGGCTCTGGTTTTATTTCTGCTGGCTTGAAAGTAGGCTGTATTTCTTCATGGTTTCGTGTTAAAATTCTATAATCCATCCAGTAACTCACCTCTGAGAGAGGAAGTTCTGCAGCAAAGTGCTTTCTAAGGCAGAGAGACCTGGGCTTCTAGGGTTCCAGACACCTGCCGCTCTTCCCGCTCCTCCTGTACCCCCAGTGGACACAAGTCACTCCCGGGTCATGTAAACGCCCACCTGTGTCCAGATTACTTTGAAGGACCTTCAGGCCAGTTGACTTCCCTCTCAGTGAGTCCTATTTCATACGAAAGCATCGGCCTTCCAGAAGCAATTCGAATGGGTGTTTTCCTGAGAACCAGAAACTGGGTGTTGGGGCTCATCTCCAGTTCGGCCGAAGAAAGAAGGCAGAGAACAGAAAAGGTGCATCCAGAAGAGTCGCGTGAGAGCACCTTCAGACACTGCAGGGAGTTTCCGAAGAAGAGGCGGCGGCCTCGTGAGCTATAAACCAGAGCTGACGGAGCAAAAGGAAGAGTCATTTAGTTGGACAAAAAGAACTTCTATATCTTTTTGTTAGGGGTGTTTACTTCAAGCTAACACATCCTATTCTCTTTAAAAGTAGTCCGGTTATCATTGAGTAAGAAGATTGAGATATATTTACAACTGGAGATAACAAAATAAGGACCTGGCTTTAGAGATGGAGGCATTGCGCATACTTTAAATCTATGAACTATTCCGAGTTCCTGTGAGCACATACGCGCACATACGAGGGGGTGAATCCCTGCGCCTGCGGACTCGGGACTCAGGGCCCAGCAAGATCAATCGGCACAGACAAGGTGCTGCATCCTGAGTTGGTGCATAATAAGTGGGGGTCTAATAAAGCTCACGAGCAGGCAGCAAGGTGCAGCTCTTCGTCTGTCCCTGTCTGGAGGAAAGAAGAGGGGTGGAAATAAAATCCGAGTCGCCCAAAGAAGTCACGGAGCACGCAAGCATCAGTGTCAGCCCTCGCCACCCTGAGACTACAAGAGCTAGATGGTGTCCAGCTGCCCCTGCCATCTACTCCAAAAAGAGCTCAGAAAAAGCTGGATGGACGAGGAGAAAAATGTGGAACAAAATTCAAAATCATCCACGAGACCAGGATTAGGATTAGACAGACCATGGCCTTAGGCATCCTTCTGTTCTGAAGCCAAATTCACCCCATGGCACAATTTTCTGCCAAAAAATACACAGGCCCACGGGGGCGGGGACAGTAACACTAGTGAGATACATGTACCTTAGAATAATTATCCATGCAAGAGCTAACGGGTAGCATTTACCCACGAGGGCCCACAGGGAGGGAGGAGGGGGATAAGTGACGTCCGAGCGCCGCCGCAGCAAGGGAGGGGAGACAAACTGTGCGTGAGTTGTTCAGTGTAAAGCTGAGTATCTGCTCAGTAAACCTGCACGCAGTTCGCCCCGGCGCCTGTTTGTTGCTTTCACTCCCTGGAAGAATTGGAAAGAGCTTGAACACAACAGAAGACCTTGATGATGGCGCCACTGAAGTGATCTCCACCGAAGAACAGAAGCCCAGTGGCCTGTCATCCTGTCATCCGTAATTGGAACTCGGCAAGCAGAGGGCGGACATTTTTCTGACATTGATCAATGGCACTCACCCGCTGCTTGGGGCAGCGTCGTCAAAGAAGACCACGCCCTCGCACACTAGTCAAACTGCGGAAGCCCAAAGGTGACGAGAAATCTTAAAATCATCCAGGAGGCCAGGGGAAAGGCACGTTACAGGTATAATGGAATGACAGCAAATACGACAGCTGGCTTCCGTTTTGAAACGATGGAGGACCAAAGGCCAAAGATTTTAAATCCACGACGATTCTACGCTAATGTAAGCACACCCAGGCGCACACGTGGGACTGAGGCCAGTGCTCACAGTGAAGACAAAATAAAAAAACGTTCCAGCCAGCCCAGTGAAAATACCGTTCAAAACCAGGTTGGAGTTAAGTTATTTGTAGTTATTTACAAACAAAACAGAGCTTACTGCCAGCACCAAAAGTAATGGGTGAGAAAGGTCAGAAAGCCGGTTCCTCTGATGCAAAGGGAGAACTGGGGGGGTGGGGGCAGAGGACCGCCTGCCTGTGGGAGGGGAATGTTTCTGTGGCTTTAGATGGGCTGACAGCAGCTGTCATCTGTCAACTCTCATCACACCCATAAAATCTGTCCAATCTATTTTTGTAAATTAGACCTGCATTTTTAAAACTCGGACACCAATATTTATTTGTGATAAATTACTCGCTTAATATTGTGATATATTACTCACTGCCGTCGATCGACTCACTCGAAGACTGTAACTGTTTACTAGAGTTGAAAGCCCTGTCTTTGTCCCACGGAGCTGCTGGTGGTTTCAAACTGCCGACCATGTGGATGGCAGCCCAACACGTACCACTAGACCTGTGGGGCTCCTGTGCTATATGAGGGACACCCAGTAACAGCTGTGAAATGAAAGGTCTGGGTAAGTCTGGAGTTCGTCGGGTAGACCTACGCAGAGCATTTTGAAAGTGGGAAACGAGACACAACCTGCCATCGCTGTCTTTGTGCTGGCATCTTGGTGAGTTCTCGAATCTTCCCTCAAGTCTTCCTACACGGAGATTTTACCCCTTCCTTTTCCCTTCTTCCTTCTTGTCTTCTCCCTCTTTAGGCCGACAGAACTTTTCAGGAGTTGCAATGCTCAGTCTGATCAAGGAGCCATGAACGACATGAAGCTCTGGGAGAAAGGCAGTATCAAGATGCCGTTCATAAACATCCCTGTCCTGGACATCAACAAGTGCCGGCCGGAAGTGTGGAAGGCCGTAGCTTGCTCACTGCAGATTAAGCCTTGCCATAGTAAATCCCGGGCAAGTATCATTTGCAAGTAAGCGTCTTTCCTAGGACACTCCAGTTTGGGCGCAGGCCCTCTCCAGCCTCGCTTTGCCCGTCACCGCCCCACCTGCCACATCCTTTCCTTCTTTGACCCCCTCAGCTTGAGAACCCTTCCCCCCATTTCCACCTGCCTTTATCCTACCTGTCCTCCTTGGCCCCTCCCAAATACCGCTCAGTCCTATAGACTCTTCTGAGATTTCTCCACCTGATTGAGATTTGCCCTTTCTATCTGCTATAGAAACTTATTTGTACTTACAGAGTGCACTCCGTTCAAGAAACACTTATTAACTTGGATATACTGATAGTTTAATTGTGTGTATTTGTCGTATATTTTCTGTTAGACCTTGCTCTTTGAAGGGCTCTGTGTGTGTGTGTGTGTGTGTGTGTGTGTATACACCTTCATTGTTATCTCCTCTCTGTTCTTTTCCTTCCCTTCCGGGATTAGCATAGCCCTGACATAGGTCCCATGATGGTGGTGCATGAAGGGTTAGTCAACCTAGGCGGTCATTCAGACCTGTTCCTAATCAACGTTCTGTGAGTGGTGTGCTTAGGAGAGAACGTAAAGATGGGCGCTGCTGTGGTGGATGAAAGCACGGCCGTTAACTAAAGAGTGGTTTGTCAGCCTCTGTTCAAAGATCTTCTTTTCCCAGTCAGCTTTTCTAAAGCCAGTCTCCCAGTTGGGGCGTGGCCCAGTGCTGCTGGGTTCTTGCTGACGTGACTTGGGGATGGCCCGGGTAGGTGAGGTTCTGAAGGGCAGCTGTCAGATGACAAGAAGCCAGGGGAACGTGGAGGCTCTGTTAGCACAGGAAGCGTATAGCGGTCAGGTCTCTGGAAGACCAAGGAAAAGTTAAAGCAGTGAACAATTATTTGTAAGATGTCAGGCATCTGACTGATGATATCTGAACATCCGAATGGATGGCAGCTGAATTTTTAAAGAATATCTGGAGATATTTTAAAAAGAAAAAAGGTCAAGGTCAGAGTCCTGAAAGTCGGATACGTGGTTTTGCAAAGATTTCCTTTCAAAGAGATTGAAAAGCCACGTGGACAGTGCTGACCGTGCATAATTTAGCAAGGCCTGTGACCTCAGAGGAGAGAAAATCCGTGGTGCTTAACCATGTAAGACTTACTATCCAACCCGGGCCGGCCCACGGTGGCGCCTGCTCTCTGTTGTCATACGTACACCTAAGCCACCGGCAACCATGAAGCCACGCAAGCTCACTTTCTGGCCCGCCTCAGACACGGGACTGCTAATTGCCTAGACAATCTGAGCAGGTTCCTGAAGTCCTAAATCTCTGTGTATTTTTCCTTTCAAGGTCAGATTGTATAGAAATGCTCAAGAAATGTGGCGACCAAAACAAATTCCCGGAGGACCACACAGCTGAGAGTATCTGTGAGCTCTTATCACCTACAGATGACCTGGAAAATTGCATACCTTTGGATACGTATCTCAGTAAATATTGTTGTTTTGTTTTACCGTTTCAAGCACTTCTCCCTTCTCTGCCTGCCTTTCGTGTTTGTGGTGAATGAGCAACTATCTGTTGAGAACATGTGGTTTCATGGCACACTCCCAATCACAGACCCTTATCATTTGCTTGGCCTTTTGGGCCATGGCCGTAAATGCCGTCATATTAAAGCAGAAGTGATTATAGCTCTTATTTTTCCCTTAAAACTACGTCTCCAGTCTTGACTCTTGAAAAAAAGAATCTTGTAAAAAGGCACAGAATAGTTACTAGATTTTTTATTTTAATTTTACCAGTTGGAGTGGGGAGTGTGACCTGTTGGTAGCCAGCAATTGTAAGCGGTGCCATCAGGGCCAGCCACACTGACCCGCTGCGGGCCATTGCCGTCACCTGGCCGAGCAGGACTGCCCAAGGGAATCTTTAGCTTTTTGTCGTCCGAGTGTCAGTGGGTCTGAGCCTGCCGTTGGCCTAATTTACCTCCCAAATGGGGACTAAGATGTGCTGGCCTGGGCTGGTACGTGAAAACGGAAGCTGTCTCACGGCTTCAGCTTCTGTCCACCAACTGCTCCTGCCAAGAGCTCAAAGAAGCAGTTTGTGTCTCATTGATGGACCCTGGATGACACGGTCCTGGCAGCCAGGCAGCTCCGTGTGCTGGAACCCAGAGCACATGGTGTTGCGGTTGTTGTTGTTGTAAGGTGCCAGAGAGCCCGTTCCGACCCATAGCAACTCGCTGCACCAGGGAACGCAGCACTGCCCCGCCCTGCATCAGCCTCGCCGTGTTCCTGGGCCTGAGCCCATTGATCCAGCCACTGTGTCCATCCAGCTCCTCGGGGGCCTTCTCTTGTTCACGCCTGACATCCTTCCCCCGGGACCGGTGTCTCCTGACAGTCCGTCCAAAGTATGTCACATGAAGAGGAAGACTGCTGGCCAGACTTGTTCCACAACAGAACAGTGTGTCCTGTGAGCAGGCAGTGGTACTTTCAGCAGTCCTCTCCAGCTCCACAATTCAAATGAATCGATTCTTCTTCCATCTCCTTTATTCCGTGTCCAATTTGCACATGCCTCTGAGGCCGTGGACATAGCAGGCAGCGCTCCTGCAGGCCACGTCGTTAGGATTAAATTGCCACCAGAGGGCGGTGTTTCCCTCTGTTGTCCATGGGGTTGCTAGGACGCCACCTCCCACAGCAGGGGCATCAATGCCTTGAGCTGGCTGGAGGGTGATGAATTCAGCTACTGCTTGATTTTCCTGATAGGAATTAAGTCAGATAAGATCAGGTCCAGCTGCAAATAACGGAACAACAAAATACAGTATCCGAGGACTGCTTTAATGGCTCCAAGATCATCAGGAATCCAGGTTGCTTCTTTTTCCACCATCCTTAACATGGCTCTACAAGCAAGTTACTTCTGCACTTCATCACAGTGCGACTGCTGGAGTGCCTGCCATCATATCGTCGTTCTAGATCGGAAAGGGGAGAACCTCTTGAGCTCATTGGCCACCCCTCGTGATAAGGGAGACTGGGAAAGGTTGAATCTATTGCCACCCTACATAAAATGGGGTCTCTATTACGAAGGAGGAGAAGTAGTGTGGATGCCAGATTTGCAGCTCATGATAGCTACCACATGTCTCAAGACCCACAAACTGCATCTCTAAGATTGTGTTCAGTAGAGCAAATAAGAGACCCTGTATGACTCTTAGCAGCTCAGCTTCACCTCTTACAGCCTCCGTTTCCCTGCTTGTAAAATGATATCCTAGTTAGTCACAAGTCAGCAAACAAATGTATTCACACGCAGTCTCTCTTAGCACAGTCAACTCTGTGTTTAGAAGGAAACTAGTTCAATGAGAGGAAAATTGAAGCTTGAATTTTAGTGCTGTCCACATCAATATACCATTTTTACATATAATGTGCCCGTTATATAATAATGCACACATGCCTATAATATACATAGAGCACACAGGACAGTGATGCATGAGGGAACTGTGCCGTTGCAAAAATAGATAGCACATACATTGCTTGCTTGAAAATGTGGCCATTTATATTAGCTGTGGCTTTTCCTCGGTCATTATTTCACAAGTTAATATACTCACATAGCCCATCTTACTAGAACACATTTTTCTCATTCTTGGTAAGTGTGCTCAATTCTCCGGTTAGACATAACCCCCTATTTGCCACCCTTCTAAAAGATACCCATCTCACTTTTCAACCTGAAAGCAACTTTTCTTCTTATGTTTATCAATACCTGATTTTATCAATGGCGCATGTGTATGTAAAATCTATCGACCAAAATGTTAGCTGCATGTTAGACATTTGTGTTCATCACTGTATCTCCAGTGCCTACACCCTTGCCTGGCATCTGGTAGGTACGCTGTTAGTAAACAAGTGTGTGTTTATGCTCAATTGCCATCAAAGCATGCAACTGTCCTAATCGCTTACTGGAATTAGACCTCACTTCTAGTCTCCTGGGCTGGCCATTCAGTTCACCCATAACTAATGCAGAGAATTTGCAAGCCTTTGTGACTGTTTTTGGTTGGCTAACCTGATCTTTTACTGGTTTTCAGGGCCGAGTACTTTAGGTAACATTGTCGAAGAGGTGACTCATCCCTGTAACCCAAATCCTTGCCCCGCCAATGAGCTCTGTGAGGTAAACCGCAGAGAATGTCCGTTTGGAGAGCCCTGCCTTCCCTACTCGTGCGTTCAAGGTGAGAGGGAGGCGGGTCTGGCCGTGTGTGGACAGGGATGAGTGTGGACAGGTGCTTCTCGTGTTTATGGGCGAGGCTTCTCCTGGGAGTGCGGTAACGGGACTGCATACTTAGGTTTCTCTTCAGTATTTGAGACTTTCCAGTGAGTGTGTATTATGTTTGTAAACAGAAAACAACAGCTATAACTGGAATCTTCCATTGCCATTTAGATTGTCCACTAAAAATATCCATCCAGAACTTGACTCTCGTAAGGAAGCGTGGCTGCAAGAGGAAAGAGATCCCTGGGCCGGCGGTCTGCTTTCTCTTCCCTGCTGGCATCCGGCTCCTTTCCTCTCTTCTCCTTCCTGTCCGTCAGGAGAGGAAAATACAGGTGTACTTAGTAGCCAAAACCAAACTCACGGCCAGCGAGTCGATTCTGGCTCATAGGCCTTGACACACCACATTGAATCCCTGTGGATATATTGATAAATTCTACAGCCTCAATATGTGTGTGTGACCCCACCGCCCCATCCAAATAGAATGTATAAATATCGCCATGAATATTAATATGGTGTGTAAAGGCATATGATTTTAAGACTGAACAAATCTTTATTGCATAGCTTTTGATAGTGTTCATTTCTTTAGAAAGCAGCTGTGGTCATTTTGACTTTTCTTTTATCAGTTGCCCAGTTGAAAGCGTTTCTTTATCATGTTACATGATAAAGTAAACATCTGTGAAGTAAAAAGGAACCAAAGGCCAAATAAACATGACGTCCCCAAAGAGCATCCAGAGCAGGGATGGGGAGCGTCTTCTCGGGCAAGGGCCGCTTAGCTATTTATAACATCATTCACGTGCCGTACAGAATTATCAGCCTCACAATTAGCCTGCTGTATTTGGTCAAACATTTAATTAACTCCCCCTTCAGGTGATGGCTGGAACTGCGTCTCTGGCAAGGCAAGTGCTGTGCTGTTAGCGGGTTTTGACGATTTCTCGGGCCTTACACGGCTCGCCCGTGGGCACACATTGGGCAGCCGCTCACTACAAGAGAAGCGGCGGAAACCACTGGCCACACTGCGAGGGAAAGACGGGACTCCACCCCTGTGAAGAGTGGCAGTCTGAAACCCACAGGGCAGTTCTCCCTGTCCTGTAGGGTCCCTGTGAGCCCGCATAGACTCGATGGCCATGTGGGAAACGGTCCGTAGGCCAACCGGCCCCACCTCTGATCTAAGTGTCAGTGTGGTACCAAGATATGGCAGCTTTGGAACCATATAAACCATATTAAAATTGGAATGCTGGGGTGTTTTACATTTCAAAAAAAAAGTCTCCTGCCCGTTATATTTGCATTATAATGTTGCTGATATTTTCCTTGGCTGAGGAAATGCTACATTAGCTTAAACATTCTAAAAATACTATCATTTTCCACAGTCCACTTTAATTACTTCTACGTAGCCCAAAAGAAATTTTAAAATTACCTATAGCATTTTGGTTTGTAACTGATTTAATTAGAGAGGAGATATTTGGGGGCAGTGGATCAAGGCAAAATCCTTAATATGGTGAATGTTCTGTCAGACAATCTTTAATAACCACACAGAACCTACAAGACGTTTGTGAACTGTATTTAATGCCATAAAGCAGACTGTCTGCCTCAGCTAATTCTGCTTTTACAGGCTGCAAATTGGGAGAAGCTTCCGATTTCATCGTGCGTCAGGGAGCCCTAATCCAGGTGCCCTCGTCCGCAGGGGAGGTCGGCTGTTATAAAATTTGTTCATGTGGCCAGAGTGGACTCGTAGAAAACTGTATGGAGATGCACTGCGTAGACCTTCAGAAGTCCTGCATCGTTGGGGGGAAACGAAAAAGTGAGTGTTGGTTTCAGGTGGCCTTGAATAGGAGAGGGGACCCAGACTTTGTGGGGAGAGCACTGGATCCGTTCTTTGCAGAGAGGACGCTCTACAAACCAGATATTCCCGGAGTGCTTTCTCAAACGCTCCTGGGCCCTGGGACTCTTAAGATGCCCTCTTAGAAGCTTCCTCAAGAAGACACTAATAGCGAATCATAGTTCATTCATTCGTATTGAACTCTAACCACGTGCCAGGAGGAAGCGAAGGCCTGGCCTGCATTCTCTCCTCGAACCTCCAGTCACCCTGATTGAGGGACTGTCAGCGTTCCAACTTCGCCGTCCAGGAGGCCGATACTGAGCGAGCGCGCCCAGCCAGTCAGTGGCCAAAATGGGATGCCCTTCTGCTCTCTTGGAACCAGTGCCCATGCTCTTCACAGACAAAGACACCCGTGCTCATCGGCCCACCGCTCCCTTCTCCGTGCCCCACCCCGCCCCACCACACACACACACACACACACACACACACGACATGGAAAGCAAACAAGGGTGGGAGACACCGTACTGGTTAGGAGTCGAGAGAAAGCCCCTTAAAAGTGCCACCCACCAATCCCCTTCTTGGAAAGTGGTGGCATCTGGATTCCCCACTGCTTCCTTCCCCACCATTTGTTGATCACCCAACACCGCCCCTCACACACCACGCCGGCCCATCGGTAGAGTGGTCCCTTTCCAGACGGATCTGTTTGCCCCTGTGTGTGGTCCCAGCGGACAGCACAGTGCTTCGGGCTAAAAAAGAGCTTGCAAACGTCTGCCGTGGAGCAAGTCAAGTATTTATTTCTTATTTCATATTCTGCTTTCAGAGGTAAGCCGGCTCATGAAATAGCGGAGGATAAACAAATTCAGTCTTTCCATAAACATTCACTAATTAAGGGCCTGATTTGTACCAAAGAGTAGGTGAGTACGGTGTGAGCCGGAGCTGAGATTGCAGACCGGGTCAGGGTCAGGCTTTGCAGAATAAGATGGGAAGACCGTGACCTGCCAAAGGAGCGCTGGTCATTCCTGCCGGGACCTCGGGAGTCTGTCTGCCACCCGGAAATGGCAGCAGGACGGCAGTGGTGAATGAAATTCTGGAAGGCGGTCAGAGCGTGCTCAGAGAAGAGGGGACAGTGTGAGGCCCGCACCCGGGAAATGCGGAGGGAGATCCAGCGGTATCGAGGTCGCAGACTTAGCCCCCTCGTTTGTATATTGAGAAATCATCTTCCAGGAATTGCCATTTTAAACCTTGGTTTTTTCCTTAGGCTGGTTTCTCCATCTGGGTCCACATTGTACCGCTTTCTCGTTAGGTCACGGGGCCTCCTTCACTATCGACTGCAACGTGTGTTCCTGCTTCGCCGGCAGTTTGGTGTGTTCCACCCGCCTGTGCCTGGGCGAGCACAGCTCAGAAGATGACCACCGCGCCTTCACCGGTAACCCTGCCCCCCAGAGCCCCCCTCGGGGCGTTTTCCCTCGAAGGCAGCTTCTCTGTGCTTGCCTAATGGACAAGACTGACGCTAGGCCTCAAGAGGGGGTTAAAGGGCAAATATGCACAATAACATGGTTTCCTTCCTGGGTCTCCGCGTCCTCCACTGTGGGTGGAAAGCATGGCACTGCGTGGTTTCTTAGGGCCCTTCCAGCACAGACACAGGGTCACCGAGGGAGACGAGCTCATGTGTGCCTTCCAGGTGGTATCAGTCCTCGTTCACCCCCACCTCTTCCTTAGAGGAGGGAGCCAGGGGGAGAAGGAGCTAGATTTACAGAGACGGCTCTTGCTCTTTATTTATATCTAAAATGTTTAAATCTTTTTATTGGGGGTTCTTATAACATCCCATACCTCAATTGTATCAAGCATGTTTGTACACATGTTGCCATCATCATTTCTAGAACATTTTCTACTTGAGCCCTTGATCTAAACTTTTTTCCTCATCCTCCCCGACCCTCCCACTCTCATGAATCCTTGATCAATTATATATTGTTATTTCATGTCTTACCCTGTTGTCTCCCTTCACCCACATTTCTGTTATTCGTCCCCTCTGGGGTGGGGGTGGGGCTATATAGCCAACCTTGTGATGGGTCCCTCTTTCTCCCCCTTTCCCCTCTCCAACCATCCCCCTACCCTCCTGATATCGCTACTCCCACCACTGTTCCTGAGGGGTTTATCTGTCCTGAATTCAATGTGTCGAGAGCTCTTATCTGTACCAGTGTGTGTTCTCTGGTCTAGCCAGATTTGTGAGGTAGACTGGGTCATGGGGTGGGGTGGGGGGAGCATTCAGGCACTAGAGGAATGATGTGTGATTGGTCGTTGCTTGTACAGCACCTTGGTTGAATCATCCCTTCCTTATAACCCTTCTGTGGGGGGATATCCGATTGTCTACAGATGGGCTTTGGGTCTCCACTCCAACTTCCCTTGTTCGCATCGATATAGTTGTTTGTTTTGGATCTTTCGATACCTGATACCTGATCCCGTCGACACCCCATGATCACACAGGCTGGGGTGCTTCTCCCAAGTGGGCTTCGTTGCTTCCCTGCTAGATGGCTATCTAAATGTTTTTAGAAGGTGAGCTTTATAGCTAGCAGAACCCTTTTTGTCTATGGTATCCCCTAGTGTTCTAGAATAAAACAAATAAACAGCTATTTAGTTAGTTAGAGGACATTCTGCTGGCCACAAAGTGTACCATATTTCTTGGGATTCAAACATGTCTCAGAGAGACACATTCTTAAATATCCATGTTTCAGTTATAGTCGCTTCCCAAGTGGGCTTCTCATGCGCTCCCTCCTCAGGAGATGGGAGCCATGGCGGCACTGTTAGCTTGTGCTGGACTGCTCACCACAGCGGTCAGTGGTTCAAGCCTTTCCTCAGGAGAACAATAAGGCTGTCACTCCTGTAACGATTTACAGCCTCGACACCCCCCTGTAGGCCGCTATACCTTGGAATCCACTTGATGGAAGATTAAAGAAACCTAGGTGGGAAGTTAGTTAACAATCGGCGAGGTTGATTTTCACATTCCAGAATTCCCTGAGTCAGAGCTCCAAAATCCAAATGAGAGCTTTTCTGTACCCGATTGGGAAAACGTGCTTAACTTTTCCTCACAGCAGTCTGTGCCTGAGACAGAGAAGCCCTGGCAGGCTAGTGGGTCACACGTCCAGTTGCTAACAAGGTCAGCAGTTTGAAGCCACCAGCCGCTCCAAGGGAGAAAGATGAGGCTTTCTGCTCTTGGAAAGACCTCCAGCCTTGGAAACGCACACGACATCGGGCCCAGGAGTCAGAATGGACTCGGAGGCCTGTGTGGCCCTCTCTGAGTGCTGCTCTGGAGAACCCGTGAGAGGCGGGAAGGCACTTCTTTCCGACTTCATTTCAGAGTCTGTCTTAACGTCAGGCCTCGTGGAAAAAGCACTCTGAGGACGGGAGAACAGACACGCACACAGTGCTAAGGCTGCTTCCCCTTTCCAGGTCTGCCTTGCAACTGTGCCGATCAGTTTGTGCCCGTGTGCGGGCAGAACGGACGCACCTACCCCAGTGCCTGCATCGCTCGCTGTGTGGGGCTCCAGGACCATCAGTTTGAGTTTGGATCCTGCATCTCAAAGGAGCCATGTAACCCTAATCCTTGCCCCCCAAACCAAAGGTGAGTCCAGTGCCCTGTATCGTTTTTTT